ATATAAAGGTTATTTGATAATACGTGGGACGCGTGGATGAGTTGTAGTTCTAACTATGTCGCACTGCGTCATCTTTTGATCACCTGCTGACAGTCTTGACGTTCGTTTCGCCTCCCGAGGATATAATTCGTCTGGTGATTTTCGCAAGAAAACGACCACTTGACAACGCGCTATTTGTTTTGAGAAGTCTTTGAATACGCGCCGAGCGGTTCTGCGAACAGAAGAACCTTGCAAAGTTTTGACTGTTCTCAGATGTCTTGGAATGTGTTGAGCACCACCGGCTCGCCTTGAAATAATAAGGTATATTAATCACCAGTGACGCGCACCAGGCAGACCGGTGCAATCATGCGTTTTTGCAGTGTTTCGTGCTGTAATGAGACCGTTTGGAACCCAATAGCTAGAAATGTGTAACATACTGAACCTCGAATTTCATAAAGTTAATTTTCTATGCTATACTTGAACAGGAAACATTCAGTGAAAATTTCAGCTTCCCTGCTTTTCCCACTCCCGAATTAGCCATTTTTCCGACAAAAATTTCCATGGGGCCTTACATGAGAATCACGCGCACCGAAGGATACCTTTAAGTTGTACATACTGGGAACTGGAAAGCTAGGAGACTGAAATTTTCAACGAATGCTGGGAACATTCATTGAAAATTTCAGCCGCCTAGCTTTCCAGGTTCCCGGGTTAGCCGTTTTCCCGCCAAGAACTTTCACGAGGCCATACGTGAGTACCACACAAACTAAGGGCCTGAGTTTGATAATTTTAAGTCAAACTTGTACTGGAAACATCCCCTGTAAATTTCAGCCCTCTAGCTTAACTGGTGACTGAGTTGGCGATTTTCGCGCCAGGAACCCTCACGGGGCCGTACGCGGAAACCACGCACACCTGGGGAATTTGAAATTCTCGAGTTCTATGTGGACGGGGGACATGATCACAAAATTTCAGCTTTCTAGCTTTCTGATTCCCAAGTTAGCGATTTTCCCGCCGAGACCTTTGCCCTCGCGTACGCGTGGCCCAGACTTGCGTGAGGGTTGGTGCCGCGGTCATGGAGTGGCACTTGGCCGGGGAACCCACCGGCGAAATTCTGGCGCCGATTTGAAATATCCGGATAGACGCACACACACGCACGCATACACACACATACACACACGCACATACACACACACACACACACACACACACCGGGGCCGTCACAGTATGCGCTTTTGCATGTGCATTTAAGCAATAACGCG